AGTTCAGGACTGGCATGTTCCAGTAAGGAGGAAGGACAAGGATGGTAAGGTATGTGATCATTGGATGACAAGGGAAATTGTGAATTTAGTCAAAAAGAAAAAGGAAGCATGTGAAATGTTTAGAAAGCTAAAACTGACCGGGCCCATGAGGAATGTAAAGAAACAGGAAAGAACTCAAGCAGGAAATTCAGAGAGCAAGGACGGGCCATGAAATGTCCTTGACAAGTAGAGTTTTATATACAAGGCATTTTATACATACATTAAACGCAAGAGAACAATTAGGGAGAGGGTAGGACTACTCAAGGATAAAGGAGGGAACTTGTGCTTGGGGGCAGAGGATATAGGCGAGATCCTAAATGAGTACTTTGAATTGGTATTCACCAAGGAGAAAGACATGGAGGAAAGTGAGACTAGTGTGGGGCATACAAATATGCAAAGGCATTTTAAGGTCAAGAAAGGAGTGGTGTTAGGTCTCTTGAAGAACATTAAAGTGGATGAGTCCCCAGGGCTGGATGGGATCTATCCCAGTTTATTCAGAGCGACAAGAGTGAAGAACTCTGGGGCCTTGACCAAGATTTTTGTATCTTCTCTACCCACTGGACAGGTCCCTGAGTACTGGCAAGTTGCTAATGTTGTTCCTCTGTTCAAGAAGGGAAATAGGGACAGTCCAGGAAATTAGAGACTGGTGAGTCTCTCAACATCAGGTCATATCTTACTATCTTGCTTGATTGATGTTTGTGAGGATGTGATGAGGGTGATCGGTGAGGGCAGAGCAATGGATGTTGTTTACATAGACTTTACTAAGGCTTTTGACAAGGTCCCTCATGGTAGGCTCATCCAGGAGATTAAGTTGCATGGGATCCATGGTGATTTGGCCATTTGGATTCAGAATTTGCTTGGCCATAGAAGACAAAAGGTTGTGGTGGAACAGTGTTTTTCTGACTGGAAGTCCATGACTATTGGTGTTCCACATGGGTCCATACTGAGACTTCTGCTGTTTGTGATTTATATAAATGACTTGGATGAAAACATAGATGAGTATTTGTTTGTAGTAAGTTTGCAGATGACACAAAGATCTTCGGAGTTATGGATAGTCAAAAGGTACAGCGGGATATAGATCAGTTGCAGATATTGGGGGGCAAAATGGCAGATGGAGTTTAACCCAGGCAAGTGTGAGGTGTTGCATTTTGGGCAATTAGATGTTAAGTATACAGCTAATGGCAGCATCCTGAACAGCACTGATGTACAGAGGGATCTCGGGGTCCTAGTTCATAGCTCCCTGAAAATGCCACACAAGCAGATGAGGTGGTAAAGAAGGCATATGGCATGCTTGTCTTTAATGATTGGGGCATTGAGTACAAGAGTCAGGAAGTGATGCTGCAGCTTTATAAAAGTTTGGTTAGGCACACTTAGAGTAATGCATTCAATTCTGGTTGCCACACTACAGGAAGGATGTAGAGGATATGGAGAGGGTGCAGAAGAGCTTGACCAGAATGCTGCCTGGATTAGAGGGTATGAGCTAAATGGAGAGGCTAGATAAAACCAGGGTTATTTTCTCTGGAGTGGCAGAGGCTGAGGGGAGACCTGACAGCAGTTTACAAAATTATGAGAGGCATGGATAGGGTTAACAGTCAGAATCTTTTTTCCCAGAGTTGAAATGTCTAACACTAGAGGGCATGCATCTAGCGTAAGAGGGGGTAAGTTCAAAGGAGATGCAAGGGACAATTTTTTTTACATAAAGAGTGATAGGTACCTGGAATGCGCTGCCAAGGTAGTGATGGAGGCAGATATAATAAGGGTTTAAGGGGCTTTCAGATGAGCATATGAATAAGCAAGGAATGGAGGGATATGGGTCATGGGTAGGCAGAAGGGATTATTTTAATTTGGCACCATGTTCAGCACAACATCATGGACAGGAGGGCTTGTTCCTGTGCTATACTGTTCTATTTTCTAATTGAGTCACGCTACTATAAAAATAAAAATTTTAAACAGTGTCCACATGGACTTTTCACCAGAGATGTCTATTCTACAGAGATAATGGGAACTGCTGATGCTGGAGAATCTGAGATAACAAGGTGTAGAGCTGGATGAACACATTTTCTGAAGAAGGGTCTAGACCCAAAATGTCAGCTTTCCTGCTCCTCTGATGCTGCTTGGCCTGCTGTGTTCATCCAGCTCTACACCTTGTTATCTCTATTTTACAGATCTTGGTTGTGTTGCTGGTGTAAGTAGAGCTGAACGGTGAAGTATCGGTAATTTTGAATACTATTGCTTCCTATATCCCCTTTGTGATATAAACCACCTTTTCCCTGCCTCATTCTAAACCATTTAAGATGTAGGTTCTCTCATCTGTTCAGATGTCACTACCTGTTTGGAAATATTTGTCACTTTCTTTTTCTCTCTGTAAATGTTTTTTTCTCTAGTCTGGCCATGCCTTTTAAACTTTTTATCCTGTATCTATTTTGGTCTTTTTCTTTGGCTTACTCTCTCCCATTAGTTGTCATATGGGCAGTTTTGTTTTTGTACATTGGTGGTAGGCAGGACGGGGGAAATGCTACAGAGACAAAATTATTAAACTTAGGCTTTGCCTGCCATCTCATTTGGACATGGAACTTTTTAAATGTATAACAGAAGCAGAACAATGGTGTCCTGCTAATGTCTAAATTAACATTTACCATAGACCAAGTTGGCCAGCAACTGGTTATTCATAATTGTCATTCGTGAGAGGCTGGTGTACACTTGGCAGCCATGATTCCTGTATTATAACACGTGTCCATGGATCAAAAGAAGTCTCTCCCTGGTAAAAGCAGTCATAGCTCAAACTCTTTGTTTAAATTTAAATTCCTACCTCCCCACTCTGAGTTGGGGCATCACATTGTTGATTGTCTGAATTAATTAACCTAAGTATTGTGAACGTTCTCTCTTTTATTTCTGTCACTAAATAAGATCAAGTTGAATGATTCTAAGTTGTTCACTGGTATAATTCTTTCAAGAAAACAATTTAGTCCCTGCTCATAGACTTGATGTTTCTTTCTCCTTATCTAAGGCATTGGAGTCAACCCAGAGAAGGATTACTAGGCTGATTGTATACGGAGGGACAATCTTAAAAGGAGTGGTTAGCAGGTTGGACATGTACTCATTGTAGCTTATAAAAATGAGGGGCAACTTTATTGAAACATTTAAGATTCTTCAGGGATTTGACAGGTATTTCCCCTTGTGGGAGTGTCTAGGACCAGAAGGCATGATTTCAGAGTAAGGGGTCACCCTCTTAAGACAGAGATGAGAAGATGATTTTCGCCATCACAGAGGGTTCCCATAGATATTTTTAATAAAGATGTCATGACACACCTCTGGAACAGGTGGGACTTGAATCCAAATCTTCCAACTTCTCCAAGTTATAAGGAAGTTATCACTGCACCACAACAGTCCTCATTGGATGTGGTCAATCTGTGGAATTATTTACCACAGCGCATGGTAGAGTCATTCAGTATGTCTAAAGCTGATCAAGACATATTTTAATCAGTAAGGGAATCAAAGGTTATGAAGCAGGAAAGTGGAGTTGTGGATTACCAGATTAGTAATGACCTCATTGAATAGTGGAGCTGATTCAATCAATTGAATGGCCATTGAAATAAAGCAAAGAACTAAGGATGCCAGACATCTGACCAAATTCAGCAGGTCTAGCAGCATCTATGGAGAGAAAGCAAAGCTAACTTTTTGGGTCTAGTGAACCTTCTTCAGAACTGAAGGTATTCTGAAAAAGGGTCATTGGACCCAAAACATTAATTCTGTTTTATCTGGTAATCTTGGTATTGAAATAATCATGTTATTTCTTAGCTAATTGCAAACTGGTTATACCTGATTACTGATTTGCTGATGGTCATAGAGTTATCAAGTTTCATTGTAAATTGACATTGGGTAATGGATGCCTTTTTAAGTAGATTGAACTTGAAGAAGGCCTCAAATTTCAATTTACAATCATGTGAGCCATGAACGACACAATGTCCAACTTGAAAAGTGGCAGTAACCTGCTGGTGCAATGGACTATTCTATGAGGAGCTAATTAAGCAAATAAATTCTCATGGAGTGTGGATGTCATTTGCCGAGGCAGATTTTTTTGACCAACTCACATTGCCCTAGAGATTGTGGTGGATTGCCTTCTTGAATGGTTAGAGTCCAGGTACACTCACAGCGCTATTAAGTGCTATTAAGGAGAAAGTTCATGTTTTGATTTAACCTTTAAGTACAGGAATACAGTGAAAAGTGTACAATGTCGCCACACACAGATGCAAAGGTACCTAGATACAAAACTTAGATGCAAGTAGTAACATAGAGAAACAAAGTTAAAAAGTAAAGCATTGTTCCTAATAAAAGTAGAAACATTAAGAAATAAAGTTGAAAGCTAACATTACAGTCCTTCCAAATATTAAATGGAAAATTAAGCAATAAAGATAAAAGTTCACCAGTCTTTCTTAGGTGCACTATCTGCAAGAGGTCGGTCTCCTGTGCTTTGGCCCACACTCTGGAGAGCTCGGGCTTCTGTTCTCGACGCCGCAGGTACTGGGGAGCGACACTTCAGACTCGCTGTAACTACGTTGGGTTCTGACTCACAGCCGCTCCATGCAGCGGATCTCCAGCCGACACCGCTCGGGACCCATGCTCAACGGGATACCATTGCCGCTACTGCACTCTTTCCGGGAGGTAAGTATGAAAAGACGAGAAAGAGAGAGAAAAACAGAATGCGAACGGGCCTACCGTGTCGGTGCTTGAATAGCTGGATCGCTCTCCCATTCGCACTGCCGGGTCCCGCTCCCGCTGTCACTGCCTTAAAAGGCCTTTTAAAAAGAAAGAAAAAAAATAGAAAAAGAATGCTCAATAACAAAAAAAAAACAAGAACAGTAGGCGAAGGACGAGCTCCAGACCAGGAGCTCGAATGCAGTACTGCTACTCCGCCGCCGCCATATTGCTGTGTCTGGGAAGTTATTGACGCACCAACGGTCATGGAACAGCAAATCAGTTCCACTTCAGGTTGGCGATGTGTCTTGGACCGGAACTTGGTGATGGTGGTGTTCCCATGCATCCACTGCCGTTATCCTTTTAGATGGCAGAGGTTCCGACTTTGGAGGAGCCTTGATGAGTTAGGTTTTTGTTAAACATACCAGATCATATAAATTTCAAACGGAGTAGAACCACATCGCTTCATCGTAGGCCGCACTGATGATGTTACCTAGCATAGTGACCAAACGTCTGTACATCACCAGCAAGCTCGGCGAGCAAGCCAACTACCTCATCCACGACCCGAGCTACAAATCTTTGCAAGAGACTTGGTGAGTTGTTGCAGTGTATCTTGTAGATGGTATGTCCTCCGGCCATTCTATATCAGCGGTGGAGGGAAGGAATGTTGAAGGTGACGGATAAGCGTCAATCAAGAAGAACAAAAACAAAGTTGCTGGAAAAGCTCAGCAGGTCTGGCATCTGTGAACGAAAAAACAGAGTTAACGTTTCGGGCCCGGTGACCGTTCCTCAGAACTGTTCCTGATTTACAGCATCCGCAGTTCTTTCGTTTTTATTTTGTCAATCAAGAGGGCTGTTTTAGCCTGGATGATGTGGAGCTTCTTGAGTGTCGTTGGAGTTTCACTCATCCAGGTGATGGAGATTATTTCATCACAGTCCTGACTTGTGCCCAAAGCTGCGAAAGCTTGTGATTTCAAATAAATCTTTTGGACTATGACCTGATGTCCTGTGACTTCTGACCTTATCCATCCCAGTCCAACACCGGCACCTCCACGTCCTGCTTTGTGCCTGATAGCGCAGAGTTTGAGCTGTCAGTCATTGAGTTCTCGTCACAGAATTTCCAGCTTCCCGACTTGATCTTTGTAGTCACAATATTTATTATAGCAGGGTACAGTGTTGCAGATCCATTCTGGATTTGACAAAACTTGTGCAGATTAGTGCCGAGTGGTCATACGGCACCCTCCGCACCACACCCCGCTCCGCCCCCAAAAACTTATTTCTTCCTTGAAATTTCATTAACTTAAATTCAACTACGAGAGGAAAATGAAAATATTTGCAATGGAGCAAAAAAAAATGCATTTTAAAAATTTGGTTTATGGGGTCTCCCTTCTTAATTGTTATGAGTCAATTACATTACCATTTCAGGCGAGACTTGCATGCAGGCAAGCACCGCCTCCCCGCAAAAACGGGGTGGAGATCATTTCTGTGGTGCAACGTCTGCTTATGACGCGCTTGCACTTAATGAATCTCCGATCCCGACCAACTAGCAGAACGTCTGTTAAATCCGATGCAAAGATGCGATTGATCGTCTTTGGTGGTTTCCTTCTAGCGCTTAGTATGTTATTCTCTTTTACGTTTCATCAAGTAGAACATAGAACATTACAGCGCAGTACAGGCCCTTCGGCCCTCGATGTTGCGCCGACCTGTGAAAACCAATCTGAAGCCCATCTAACCTAAACTATTCCATTATCACGAAATGATTAAGGGTCTCTAAGTAATGTAGTACGGTGGTGACTTGTGGACTCAGAAAACAATTATTTAATAGAGTGTGGTATTTATTCTGATCTCTACGGTACAGAACTTTTTAAATTATTGCACTTACGTGCAGGCATGTAGATTTCACTAATCCTGTTAGATTTGCGTGTTTCCAGTGACTAGTAAGAAATTAGAACAAACGATGAATTCCTATCGATAACCCGCTGTCACCATACATTGTCTCAAGTGTGGTTTGAAAATCTTTTTTTTACCTCTAATTCCCATTCCAAGGTGGTTCCCGGGGTGATGAGGTGCGTCAATGGCCCACTTTGCTAGCTCTCAACGCACGAGGATCAGCTGAAATGAACTGTGTGCAGGAAGGAACGCTTCGCGATAACATGCTCTGGTATCGTCAATCCGCTGATGGAAGCTTCACTTTAATCGGCTACATATACTTAGCAGGGGAAGCTCAGTATGAAGAAGGTTTCAAGAGCGGCTTTTCTATTACAAGGACAATGGAAAATAAAAAATCTACTTTGAAGATCGACAGCGTTAAACTCACGGACAGTGCAATTTATTTCTGTGCAGCTAGCACATCGCTTCATAGTCACCGGTAACTGAGACAAAAACTCTCGCACAAACTGATCTAGATTGATGTAATGTTACAGCGAATTAACAAGAGGTACACTTCAAGTATACGAGATTATTAAAGTGCTGCACAGCCAAACCTGCACTTTAGGTGAACTCAGGGGGACCATAATTGCAAAATAAGTCCAAACATGTTTCAATACCGAATTCAGGAGAAATTCAATGACTGGCGAGAATGTGGAAAATGGGCAAACAGGCTAATGCATTTAAGGTAACCTATAATTATCGAATGAGTGAGGCTGATATAAAGGTTCAACTGAGAGAGTGAAGCAACGCTAGACCCTTACGCTTTGATCTGTGAGCTATATCACGTACAATTTTATGTGTGGAGGATAAACTATGAAGGGATGGAGTGAATAATTAAAAGGCAGATAATGTCTGGACGCGCACATTTTGAGGAGCAAATAGGAAATGAATCCACCACCAGCCAGTTGGATTGTAAGGGTAGTTTGGTGTTTTGAGTGTCAGGGGTTCAACCATAGAGTGTCATTACTGTTGACCCGAGGCTCGTGACTTTTTCTTGCTCCGTGATGCAACACAGAAAGACACCATTCTAGGGCAGAATGGAAAAACTGAATTCGTGAGAGGGGAGGTAGGAGATTAAAAGTTAAAGTGTAAATCTTTTATAAAATCTAGGACTACTTGCCTAAAATTTGGCATTTCATTTAACTTTGCTGTTTTAAGTCTAAAGTATTTTAGAGGCTTGGAATCAAGGCAAAGTAAGCAAATCAAGTCCTCCGCTGCAGAACAGGTGACAATAGCAAATTGAGTATCTAAATAGTTTTTGTAACTGCTTCTAAGGAAAATGATCGCAAACTCGGTAATCATAAATGTGAGAGGTTATGCATTCTGTGCTCTGGTGTAGAGTGGCAAAACTACCAGTCTGATAAGAGGGAGTTTCAGTGATGGGGGGCACTTTTTTTCCCTTTTCTTTCTGTATTTTTGGCCTCTGGTACACCGCGGATGAAAAACTGAAAGAGGAAGATGAGTTTTGAAAACATTCCAAGTTGATAGCATAAAATTATGTTTGCCATAGACGGAGAGCAGAGAGATTCACTGGACTGATTCCTGCAATGGCAGGCTTGTCATATGAGGAGAATTTGAGTTGATTGGGCTTGCATTCACTTGAATGTTGAAACAGAATCTCATTGAAATATATATAATGATAGGACTAAACATACTGGATGCAGGGACAATGTTTCACCTAGCCAGAGGGTGAAGAACAAGGGGTCACAGTCCCAGGATATGAGGCAACACTGTTTTAAATGAGAAGAGGAGAAAAATGTTCCATAGACAGCACCTTCCAAACCTACAACCACTGCCATCTAGAGGGACAAAGGAAGAAAATACAGGGGAACGCCACCACCTGCAAGTTCCCCTACAAGCCAGTGAGCCATCCTTACTGAGAAATTTATCATTGTTCCTTTGGTGTAACTGGGTCAAAATCCTGGAACTCCTTCATTGCCATTGTACGTGTATGTACACAAAATTGATCACAGCAGCTCCTTACCACCTTCTCAATGTCAACTAGGAATAAGCAATAATTGCTAGCCCAGCCCATGTCGTTATTATCTCATCACTGAAGTTTTAAGAAAGAAAAAATTTCACATAGGTAAACCTATGGAATTCTTTGCAACAGACGACTGTGGAGGCCAACTCACTGATTTTTTTTAAAGAAGGAAATAAAAAGATTTCTAGAGGTTAAATCTGGCAAGGTGTATGAGGATAAAGAACCAACATTGAATCTGAAGAGCATGATCGATGGACCAAAATGGCCTACTCCAACTCCCTTTTTCAAGTTTTCTATGATTCAGTCCACTATGACTCAGACAGCACAACGAGGAGCTGTACAATTAGAATCATTGAATCATGACAGCACAGAAGGAGGTCATTGGACCCCTTATAGATAGATCCAAGCTAGATCGCTGGAACAGCAGCTCAGTTAGTCCCTTTTCCCGGTTGTTCACCCATAGCTCTTATTTTCCCTTCAGGTCACTATGCAATTCTCTTTTGAAAGCCACTATTTAATCTGCTTCCATCACATTTTCAGACATTATATTCCAGATCCTAACCATTCTCTGCATTTAAAAAAAAGTGATTCCTTGTGTCACTCTTGCTCTTGTTACCAGTCACCTTCAATGGGTGCCTTCTGGTTCTTACTTGTATGAAGGGTCTGAAGGTATAGTAAGTAAAACTACTGAAGATATATATCTTTCTACTTTCAGACAGGAATCTAAGTTGTCAAGAAGAGGGAAATTGTCTGCAAAGGAAAATATGGAGCTCAACTGTTTGAGCAAAAAGTAGGCAGTTGTAGTATAATATGATGACACATGAACTTATCTAACGTGGTAGGAAGAGTACAAAAGCAGTATACTATTTGAATTGAGAAAGATCACAGACCGCTACAGTACAAAGGGACATGTACCCAGGAAACGTGGGAGACATGCTGGCCTTCAGGTGAGACTGAAACTATGTGGTTTCAAGTCCCCGCTCCCCAGCATGCTCCTGGCAAATGTGCAAACTGTTTAAAACAAGCTGGATGAATTTAAAGCTAGACTCAACACCCAAACAGAATTGAACATAGAATATGGAACAGTACAGCACAGTACAGGCCCTTCGGCCCACGATGTTGTGCCAAACTTTTACCCTAAACCTAAGGTCTATCTAACCTCCACCGCTACATTATACTATCATCCATATGCCTATCTAATAGCCGTTTAAATGCCCCTAATGAGGCCGACTCCACTACCCTCTCTGGCAATGCATTCCACGCCCTGACCACTCTCTGAGTAAAGAACCTACCTCTGACATCTCCCCAATATCTACCTCCTTTCACTTTAAAACTATGTCCCCTCATAAAAGCTACCTCCACCCTAGGAAAATGTCTCTGGCTGTCTACTCTATCTATACCTCTGATTATTTTGTACACCTCTATCAAGTCACCTCTCATCCTTCGTCATTCTAAAGAGAAAAGCCCTAGCTCTCTCAACCTTTCCTCGTAAGACCTTCCCTCCATTCCAGGTAACATCCTGGTAAATCTCCTCTGCACCTTTTCTAACACTTCCACATCTTTCCTGTAATGAGGTGACCAGAACTGGTCACAATACTCCAGCTGTGGCCGAACCAGGCTTTGAGAGGCTACTGTGTGTTCTGTTTTACAGTGACATGGCTCACTGCTGCTACACCTGACTGTGCCTTACAATCCAAGGTTTCTCTATTCACCGGATGGACCAGTCAGCGTCTTCGGGCCAGGCAAGGAGCGTTGGGGTCTTCCTCATAATCAAAACCACCTGGTGCTCAGACGTAGCGAACCTAGTGAGTTTAATGCCCTCCCGCAGACTGAAAATATCTGACTGGTGAAGTGCTGTCCCCATTACCTGCCATGCAAATTCACCTCTGTTATCCTGACAGCAGTCTGTATACCACCCAATGTAGAAGTGACAAGTGCACTTAATGAAGTATACATGGTACAAACAGTATTGGGATGGAATACCCAAGACCTTGTTCATCGTAGTTGGTGACAGTAAGCAGGCCAACTTTAAGAATCAAGTTACTAAAATACCATCAACACCTCTCCTTTCTCACCAGATGTCCGAACATCCTTGAGCATTGTTACACAACCATCAAAGATGGCTACTGCTCCAACCCCCACCCCACCCCCCGCCCAATCTGCATTTTAGAAAGTCAGATCACAGGCTGTGCTCCTCCTTCCGGCTCACAAGTAAAAATTGAAGTGTGAGGACCCAGTACGGAAACTAATAAAGTGTTAGTCTGAGGCAACAGAAGAGCTTCTACAGGACTGCTTAGAATCGATAGACTGTACACATTCAAGAACCCAGCAGCCAACCTAAATGAGTATGCTACTACCAATGCAGACTTTGTAGTAAGTGTGTAGAAGACTGTATGCCAAAGAAGTTAATCTAAATGATCCTCAATCAGAAACCAAGGATGAAGCAGGAGGTCCACTCCTTAATGAAGTTGGGTGACACTAACCTATACAGGAAATCTAGGTATGACCTTCACAAAGCCATCAGAGATGCCAAGAGGCAATAGCAATCTAAGTTAAAGACCCAGACTAACCGCACGGACACCCATCATTTGTGGCAGGGCTTACACAACACAATGGGTTACAAAGTAAAGTCGAATGGAATCACAGGCAAGAATGCATCCCTTTGCTGTGAGCTCAATGTAGTCTGTGACCGCTTTGAACAGAAGGTCAGTGAAACAATATCACCTGACCCAACAGCCTCAGGTGCATCATCATCATCATCATCATCAACGGCCGTCCCTCACATGCAAGGATGACTCTCTTCCACTCTCAGGATGAATCTGTAGGTGTCTGTACAGACTAATGTGGCTACCGGAGGTTCGATTACATGTGGGGCCGGTGGTGATCGTGGAAGAGATGGGTGTGGCATTCATGTGGCAGCATACTCCTTTCACTATTTTCTCCTGGCTTCCATTATTTCTCAACAGCAAGCCTTGAAGTGCTCAACGTCTTCCTTTGAATGTTCCTCCTCCACTTTGAACAGTCTTGCACCAGTGATTCCCAAGTGTCTGTGGGAATGCCGCAATTTGCCAGTGAGTCCTTGAGGGTATCACCAAAGCATTTCTTCTGTCAATGTGGGGCTCACCTACCATTTCAAACCTGCTTAGCGAGTCTCATTTGGTCATGAGCATGACATGACCAACCCATCATAGCCAATCAAAGGTGGTTAGTATCTTGATATTGGGAGTGTTGGCCTGATTGAGGACGCTGGTGTTGGTGCATCTTTCTTCCCAGTAGATTCATCGGATCTTGTGTAGGCAGCATTGGTGATACTGCTCCAGTGCCTTGAGGTGTCAGCTGTAGACAGTCCACGTCTCAAAACTATATCGGAGGGTGGGAACCACCACAGCTCTGTAAACAATGATCTTGGTGTCAGATCTGATGTTGTTCTCAAACACACTTTTCGTCA